GGTCTTCCCTCCATCCAGTGCTGAGCTTCAGACCAGTGAAGAGATTCAGTTAAATTTAGTAAAGAGCACACACAGGAGAATTTAATTTAATCATTTTTGAAATATGCAAGTAGTCTTATTCTTATAATCAATCTATTAATACATAAATAAAATTCTGAAAATGCATGCTTTATCATATTTGTCTACTAGGTGGCAGCATTTGATAATTCTAAGTATACATAGGCACACATGTTATTGGTTTAAACTGCTGGTTGTGCAGCAGCTTGCAAATCTTCACACTTCAGTGAAGCATCACCTCTCTACTCCTCCACCTCTTCCTGCCCAGGATGCACCTGTGGGTCTCATCCTCTCACTTAGAATACATGAAGAAATATAAGTCAATTGTATGAGATTGCCCCAGACTGAGAATGTTTTAGTAAACATTAATTAGCCACCACAGTCAACGTGTCACCAGGCGAAGCAGTGATTTTATTTAAGTGTAGTGCAACAATAATCCAAACACAAAATCCACAGTAGTGATGATCCCAATTCCCAAGTTTCAGTGACTCTCCCAGATTCAGCTTCTCCACAGAAAGTCTCTCCAGAACTCAGATTTGCTCACCGCTCTCACAGGATTTCTCCACAGTTATCTGCACACAGTAGGACAAAGATAAGTTTTCTTTACAGGTAAATGTGGTAATAGGGCCAATAATACAGTGGCATTCGTGCATGTATGTATCAAACACAAAGAGCGAAACCCTGTATGGGTGAGTGTATTTTTTGTAAAATAAATAAATAAATAAAATAATCACATGACTGATATAGCTGCTGTGTCAGGAAGTGGTGTGTTTGCATTTTTGGCTCATCATCACCCACTACACACAATGGAACCATTTAGAGAAAGAACATTTTCTCCAGTCTGAGATCATTTAATCCTTCCTTCTCCCCTCACATACACAAGCACTTCCACTGTCAGGAGCACTTCTATTTCCTAAACAAAACTTTCACTCTGACTTGAAGTTCTTCACTTAAACAATTTTATAAAGTCTACATTAAACACACTGTATTAATCATATATTTGTATTTCCAAATGAACAAATTATTCAATATATACACTTCTTCTCATTCAGTTAGCACTTTATCATTAGCTGGTTATTTAAACAGGACCATTCGTCACTCATTTGGTGTTTAGATATCAGTTAAGTCTCTCTCTACAGGTTTAATCCAGGTTGCCAGCTATATGCATACATATATATCATTTATATATTTATTTTTTAAATCCATTGCTTTAACCAATCCTTTTAGTGGCGTCACCAATAAAGTTATCGGTGATAGCAGGGTGGCACACAAAAGGCAGGAAACTAGGATGAGTCACACTATTGCACATAGACCAGCACACCCACACCCACAGATAACAGAGGAGAGGTAGAGCGCTCAAGAGGGAGACAAAGAGGACAGAGGCACCATGACAGTTTGTTGTCCATGTCCTTGACCTCACTGATTATAGTGTAGTTTGTTTTAGACCTAAGGTCCTAGTATTACAGCATGATGGGTAGCAAATAATACTGTTCTACTTTGTCTGCAGTTGGTTGTTGCATTAGCTGTGTTATGCCACCAGGTGGCACTCTGTGACCTATTATTAGAAAGTTTCATGA